AGGCAGTGTGACATCATTAAACCTGTTTATGTGCAGTTTTATAGCTTCTAGTTGAGTTAATGAGAATTAAATATTCAAATTAACAACTGTTTTTCAATTTAGGATACACTATAAAAATGGAACAAATTCAAAAGGGACCAAATAAATTAAGAGTAAGATGTGAGATAGTCAAAAGTTTCTTAATGGGGACAAAAATAAAAGCATTAATCATAAAATAAAAACATGAATAAATTGGATCTTATTACATTAAGAAATTCTTTTCATTATAAAGACACCATTTTAAAGTGAAAAACAAGCCACATGCTGAGAGAAATATTTTCAAAACGAAGATTTAACAAAATATCGGTACCCAAGTATGTAAAGAACTCCTACAAATCAGTGCTAGAATATTACAAACCCACTTAAAAATGGAGAAAATATTTGAGCAGGCATTTCAAAAAAGAAGATGTATAAATTACCATTAAGCATATAAGATGGTGCACAAAATTATTACTCCTCAGGTAAAAACCCAATTAAAACAATAATCAGATATTACTACATGCCCACAAGAATGGTCAAAATTAAACGGTCTGAAAATGAAGTGTTGTCAAAGATGTGGAGTAACTGGAATTCTCTTACATTGCTGATGAGACTGTAAATTTAAAAACATTTTGGAAAACAATTGACAAGATCTGAAGCTAGGATGATAGTTATCTCTGCAGTGCTCCCCAACCTTTTTGGCACCAGGGACTGTTTTCATGGAAGACAATTTTTCCACGGACCAGGGGGAGGATGGTTTTGGGATGATTTAAGTGCATTACATTTATAGTGCACTTTATTTCTATTATTATTACATTGTACTATATAATGAAATAATTATACAACTAGCCATAGGTTGGGGACCCCTGCTCTAAAGAATGATATTAACCAAAAAAGAGCAATGGAAACATTTTGGATATTAGAATATGCTTGGTATATAGATAGTGTGTGCATATATACAAAAATGCATTGAATGTTATACTTAAATTTAGGTTATGATATAATTCATTATAGCATACATTATGCTTCAAAGAAAAGGGTTA